TACAAGGGTGAGGAAATACAAAAGCTCCTCTTTCATATTTCTAGTGTAGACAGATTTAATAATGATTTTACCCGTTGTTAGCATGCACAATTTTTTTATGAAACCCATACCCTAATAACCCATGACCTAACTTTCAAAATTAAGCTATTTCTCATTTTATAGTTATTAAAGTATAAAAGTTTTTAATTAAAATATCTATATATATAAAACTCAAAGGTGACTGACATAGTGATCTATCAACGCACAGCCCAAACCACTGGACGGATCGGGCTGAAATTTGGCATGCAGGTAGATGTTATGACGTAGGCATCCGCTAAGAAAGGATTTTGATCAATTCTACCCCCAAGGGGATAAAATAGGGGATGAAAGTTTGTATGAAACTTTGTCAATTTTAAACCGATCGGGCTGAGACTTTGCATGCATAAAGCTACTATGACGTAGGCATCCCCTAAGAAAGGATTTTGATAAATTCCACCCCTAAGGGGATAAAATAGGGGATGAAAGTTTGTATAAATCTTCTTAGATTTTCGACTGATTGAACTGAAATTAAAGATTGGAGCTACTATGATGAAGACGTCCGCTTAAATAGGATTTTGATAAATTCAACCCCCATGGGGATAAAATAAGGGATGATGGAGGATGTAAATGTATTAGTTTGAACCTATCAGTACCTAATGGAACGAATAAATTAAGACGAACAAAATAATTTTTAGTTCTAAATGTTGACAATAGATGGCGTTAGTAGTATTTTAAAACGCGCTATCGTTGTGTTTTCACTGAGTTACATATACCCGATGATGAGTGGCCGCCGTATCTAATAGTACATACTATACCTAAATATTTCTAGCGGATTATATTTGACGGGGGTTAATTAGGTATAGTTTTTGCGGGGATTATATTGTACCCTTTGTACATAGTTGTACAAAGAAGTTTTGTAGGCCCTAATTTTTTACACACGCTAAACAAAAGTAAAGCCGCAAAAACTATACCTAATTAATAATAATACTTCTTAACGCGAGCGAAGCCGCGGGCAAAAGCTAGTTATAACATATGACGCCATACAGAAATGTGTTACTATATACATTTAAATAATTGATTATCTGTAGTCATTAGTGCTTACTTCTTGTTGGTATAATAAGTCTATAAATGAAAGTAAAGTTTTCGTAAACTTTTCCTACAATATTTATAACAAAGGCCATGAATCATAATTTAGAAATATTTGTTTAAAATATATAAACTAGATTCCGCTTACATTCGGGCAAAAGGGGATTTGCCGTAGGCTCTCCCCTTCCAGCATGGAGTCCCGAACCATTTTTTCATAAACTCTGGTAAGAATATCGAAATTAAAATTTGGCTCATTGCCTCACACTACCGGGGCAGAGGCATAGCAAAACCGTGGTGTTAATCTGTACATAGAAATGGCAAAACAATGGATCCTGTGAGCATGACCATTGTCAAAATCAAATTGCCTGTACCTTTTGCAAAGGGGGAATTTCGAAAATGGCATACATAATCGCAATATAAAGAATCATGTCGTTTGCTGCTTAAAAATATTCGTTGAAGATTCCCGTAGAAAGTTCATTGAAAGACAAAAAACTGCTTTCAATTATATAATAGGGCTCAGATGGAGTCTAGCTGTGCAGTTCGCTAATTAGAGCTATCATATAATGAATAGTTTGACACCAGAAATTTTACTGTATTTCCTCTCAAAAATTCGAAAACAAACAATGAAAATTTGTATAAAGTTTGTTTGTGATAAGTCGACTGATTTCTGTCGAATCGAAAGAAGCTTTATTTCAATTATTCATCTTTATGACCAGCGACATTCACACTTCGATCGATATACATGCGAGGAGACGAAGAACTGCCTGCAGAGTTTAAAAATATTACAATTACAAAATTCGGTTTTATAAATCTAACATTATTACATAATCACAATATCAGTATCAATAACAAAATTAAAGTACCGAAACGTTATCAATAGTGAAAAAGCAATAAGTATTTAACGAATCAAATCGAATTAAAATAAATATTTTTACGCACATTTTAGAATTGTGATTGAATTCTATTTTAAAGTATGAAATGTTTTTTTCATCAAATAAATCGATCCATCTTAAATCCTCGAATTTACGTCTTTTTAAAGAGTTTTTCTTTTGTAAAGTATTTCATGAAAGACTTTCATTTACTAAAGTTAAAGGTAAGATAAAGGAATAATGCTGCTGCTAATTTATCGACGGATAGAGGTGGATCTTACATCTACTAATCGAAAACCTTAAACGTTAATGATCTAGATCGAAACTACATTCTAAACAGTAATTATATGTAAATGAATTCATGTGATCAGTGCATGTTGTGTGCATAGGAAAGATAAGCACTGTTTACTTTTAATCAGAAAGAGCTTCCCGGAATGATTTTGGATATACTGTAATTTAGAAATGCCACATATTATTATAGCAAACATATAACTTATATCAGAAAAATGCATAATAAAAATCTACTAGAATTTTATCAATCACACTAGTGAAAAATATTGATTTGTCTGAGTGGAAATTTATCGTCTAAAATTTCGTGCAATGTTCATATATATCTGTTTTAAAAAGGCCACTCTATATAGAGAGAAAGTAAGATAAGTGCAAAACGTGCTAATAACTTCATGTTTTGTTGAATTTGCCACGGTGCATCGAAAAGTTTATTTGCGAATAAACTATTGAAAATATATTTTACAATTATGACTGTTAAAATTCCAAATTCGTAATTAATTTTCAAAAACAAATTACAATTGGATCTACACTATTGTTATTCATCAGAATGTCATGAAGTACAGTAGAGCGTCGTTTATCTGAATCAATTGGGGACTGGGGTTGTTCGGATAACTTATTTTTCGAAAAACCAATTATGTACGAAAAAATATATTAACCTATCCCGTGTTGAAACTTTTCTCCGTTGCGTGTCGCTTCGCGTTGTTAAGCCTAACGTAAACTATTTAAAGTAATAATCGTGGCTATTGTATCGTTAAAAATTATTTCTTTATTTTGTACATACAAAATAAATATATTGAAAAATATAAAAACCAAAAAAATATACTTTAGAAGTTGATCTAGTATCTAAAATGTTCGATTTAGCACCACACACAGTCCTCAGAAAAACACCACACAAAAGTGCTAGTGCTGCCAGCTAAAACACACACACTAACATGATCTTACCAGAATGATCTTACCAGAATGGTCGTCTATTGAATAGCAGTTTACAGAAATATTCAAAATTGTTCCTACCATATTTGAAAAGTGTAAATGTACTAGAGCGGATTTCAGCAATTTATTTTCCCATACGATATCCGTATTCCTCCATTGTGCATTCATCGTAAATTTCGGCGACAATAAAAACAATTAAAAACACGAAGTTGGGGGTTCATTGATTCTGGCGCCGTCTTACATTGGTTGATTGAACTTCGTGTTTGTACGCTCCAATTCAGTACAACTGAAACTGTGATACACCAAAAGTGTATTATTGAACTGCGAGAAAATTTCACTTATAATTTCAGAATTTTGTATATTATGTTAAACTTGGAAAAGAAAACTTTTTCCAGTTTTACAGACTACATGTGATACCAAAAACCCAGAGTGATAGGCTGCTGGCACCTCTTTTCTAAGGCATCCGTTTGTCAAGTACGAATTGCAATTAATGTAGCTTGGGTGATATTTGGGAAGGTTTTGATTTAGATAGTACTATCCCATCTTGTCATCCTATACTGTCTTATATCATCCTAATCACCAACTGTAATATCTCTTCGTGCCGACTGTTCCTGAGAATGTTTATGCTTAAAGAAATGTTTTTCGGTTGTTTTTATAACTTGATGATAATGTATTTCAAATAGTATTTTTCATTTCTGTTAAAAAAATTTGAACAGCAGTTGTATTTTATATAATCTAAAATATTTATTGTAAATCTATTCAGCTTATATCGATGGTTATACATTCCGCGAAGAGTGGACAAGATTCCCCATTCTAACCCGTCGCGACAGCAAAGGAATCATTATCTAAAATACAAAATGTTTCGCTCATTAGTGACAAAGTGAATAACACTATTGGACACTGATCATTGGAATTGCGCCTGACAATGCGCTAGCCACTTGAAGTTTTTCGTGACATATACTATTTTAATTACGCTATCATGTTCACTTTTGAGCAATATATAATATATAACGCTGATTCTCAGTTTTACTTTTTTGGTTAAAAAGTCAAATTGAGATTGAAGTTGAATTGTGCCACGAGTAGAAGTCTTCATAGCATTACAATTTCTGTTGGTAAACACTCAAAGTTGTTAATGACTATACTATTAAAAATATTGAACCGAGTAGCGCTTAACTGTAAATAATAATAAATGTTTTTGATAAATTATGCTTTAAAAAGATATGGCCAATTATACGCACTTTCAAACATTCCTATAAAACAGATATTTTTTTAAATCGGATTTAAACAATCGAAGACTCTACTTACAATATAGCTTCTAACTTAAATCCGTCAAATTTAATTTAACTTAATATTCTTAGTGAGAAAGCGCATCCACAATGAAATTCATAGTAAAAAATCCATGTAGGTTATTTTATGGTAGTCAGCTTTTTGCTCATTGTGTGCATTCCTACAAATACAATTTCTATAATCGTCAAAACCATTGACAACTATTTTGTTGTTGTAAATATATTCTTAAGGAAAGCATATTTATTTTTTAATAAGATGTTTAAATTCCCAGTTTATATAAAAATGGATAACATTACATTTTTTGTGGGATTTAGTATTTACAATATTATATCATCAAAAATTTTAAAATATGCATGAATTGTTTCATCTTGTAATTAAATTCAGAAATTTTAGTTTCTGGTTAGATAAAATTTATGTAATATAAATTATAAATGTGATAAGGTTTTCAGAATAAAAGTTAAAAATTGTATAATCGTAGAAGCAATAAGAAAAATTAAAAATTAGTTAAATATTTGGAAAGACTTTGTTTTTTCTGATTTGTATGTTTTCTTTGGTTTTGCAACTGCAAATTGCATATAGAAAAAAATTTATTACTTATATTTATAAAATCGACATTAAGTCCGACCTTACTGAAGATACACACGACTCCCTTTATCTTCCTTCGACGTTTAATCAGTAAAATTTAATAACATCAATTCAAATAAACAAACCCTCCTGCAAAATTTATGAAATTTACGATAAAAAACACAGGAGTTATTAAGCTTCAAATAAAGTGAACGAAATCGTTCCAAACACTCACTAATATTTATATGTAAAGGAAACATTTTCGAATTTTTATGAATTTATCGACGTTTCAATGTGTCTTTAGTCCAAAAATTAAAAATCTTAAAGGGTAAGTTTCTGACCGATTGCCATACTATTTCTCTGTTATATATATATAAGCCAAGAAAGTAAAAATATAAATAAAAATTACACATTTTACTCCATATTATTATTTTTCATTATTTTTCTATACAGCAAATAATTAACATTCGTTTATCTAAAAATTCTTTAATTAATTATCTGAAACAGAAGAGTCAACGGCTTTTATATAGTGTTCAACGTGCAGTAAGATATAACATAAAAATCTGTTCGTACCGAAGAAAATTTTCTGTTTTTCATAACAGTTTAAACACGTTTTTATTAGACGACATGTATTTGAAATTTGAAATTTATTTCTCATGTCATTTGTCGACTGATTACACTGGCATTTGGCGAGCTTTTTCTACAGCAATCAGCTCGTCCAATCATGTTGAGCCACTCAAATTTCAAAATATTTAAATACTATTCTAGTTCGAAACGGACTGCAGTTGTTCTTTTCTGCTCGTTTTCATCGAACTAGTAAGACTTTAGAATTTAATTTCAATTCTATTCTTTGCATTTATTAGATGATTTTACTTTAACTTTGAATATTTAACTGATTTTTTCATTTTACTGAAATCATTCAACAATATCTAATTATAAATTGTGAGTATTAGGTCTTAACTGGTATAATTTGTTCTCTGTCGAGTAGGTAACTCCTGTTCACAATTTAAAAAATAAATAAGATTTTATATATATTAAGAAATGTAATATACAATGATATTAAAAATAATTACCCTATTCGTTACACAGAAGGACGGTTAACCGATGTATTAATGATTTATTTTAATTTTTATCTAATTTAAGTAATTTTTATAATTTCCTTCTAGTACTGTAGCATAATTATTTCAATTGATACATTCAAGTAGATATATGTGGGTGTGTATGTAAATATATATATATATTTATTTAATTATTTATATGTGTACATGTGTGTTTTCTAATTGTCTGCATATGAATCTTTATTTTCTAGGAAAATTTCAAAGTACTGTTTTATTACGTAAAGTGTTTGAATGAGCTTTTATTAATATTTCAATGGATTTTTTGACAACTGTGTTAAGCATTTCCCTGCTCTCTTCTTTATCCATATCACAGATAAGCTATGTAGAACTAGAGCAGTTTAAATACTATGAAATATTATCATTGAAAATGAAATTGTACGAAAACTTTAAAGCGGAATCTTATCGTGGGAAAACGACAATTACTGTAAAATTTCGGGCATTCAACAAAAATTTCGAGCTGAACCTGCGAGAAGACAATTCAATAACATCTCCGAGCAGCAAAGTCTTCATTGTTGGGCAAGAAATTATCAAATTATATCTAAAGAATGTTGCGGGGTCTTCCATTTACGAAGGAAACGTTTCGGGAGCTGAGCAATCTGTCGTAAACGGATATCTGCACCAAAACGGATTTATTGGTAAAATTAAATTAAATAATGAAATATATTACACCGAAACTGCCTCTACGTATTTGAAGGATGCAATTTATAAAGACAAATTGATAATTTATAAAGAAGTGGACATATTACCTATAGAATACAGAAGCTTGAATGGGAGTGCATTTTGTAGTACTCCTCTACTAAATAATTCAGTATCAACGAACTTATTCGATTATAACAAGATCTGGAGGTCAGACTTTTTCCAAAAATCTGCAATTAATAAAGAGTAAGTCTCGTTAATAATTCTTAGAATTATTATTAGTTACTATAAAGCTATTTGGAAATTTTGTATAGTTACAATATTGTTTCAATTTGTATATTTAATGTCATACAGGAAAAAATTAATTTGCAATCTGGAAATCATGGCAGATCATACTTTTGTAAACCATTTTAATGGCGATCGGGCAACCATTATTGCCGAAATGTTGTATTACGTGAAAGTGGCAGACAAAATTTTTCGAAATTTACATTTGGATAAGAGTGATTTATATAAAATAATCGGCTTCAATGTAGAGAAAATCACAGTTATAGAAGATGCGTCGAATCCTTACTATCATCTGAATTTTAATAACACTGATGATACAGAGTTTTTGTTTTTTTTGGGAATGACTGCGAAACAAACTTCGTGTTTATTTGTGAACTTCTCTCACAGAGATTTTGGTGTAGTACTTGGAAATACGTACGTAGGTATGTTTACTTTAATATCACTTCTAATAATGTATGAAAGTATGTGTTAATTTTGTAGTGATTTATAAATCGAACAGTAATCTTTTAATAGGATTATAATGATAAGGAATAAGATAACGAAACGCATGGGGGATCTGCCAAAAAATATGCTCCACGGAGGACATTCATTAAGAATCATGCTCATCTTTACGTATTAGGAACGTACAGAAAACTCGTGAAGCTTCACATAGCCAACCGGTTGATGAGGAACGAGCTCGCGACTAACTGCCAGTGTCAACTATTGGCCGAGTAGATAAAACCATTGAAAATTGGTCACGCCTCTCCAACGGACGGGCTACGTGATGTATTCGAGGTTTTCATCGTGGTTATAACATATAAATATCGGGTCGATTCCCCTAGAAGTCCTTTCAGCAGGCATCAGCTCGGCAGATTATTCACATGTTGCATTGCATTAACCTGAGAAGCCAAACCAAAGTTTATGGCCAGTAATATTACTCACTAAACTGTAATTATGTTAATAATTCGTAACTTGTTGCCACACAAAATCGCGTTACGGCACATCTTCAAAAATTCAATCTTTTCATACTCTTTTTTTTAATCCTTTAAAATTTTTAAAATAACTTTCCTGGTAGTTTGCTAATGTTATACGTTTCATAACGACCATAGAAGATTCCGCTCAATGGTACAAAAAATAAATAACTAGGTTTCAGAATGGTAATATTTGAATTTCATGTATGGCTCACTCGAGTGGGTTACTGGAATTGATATTCTNCTGTTGATGAGGAACGAGCTCGCGACTAACTGCCAGTGTCAACTATTGGCCGTGTAGATAAAACCATTGAAAATTGGTCACGCCTCTCCAACGGACGGGCTACGTGATGTATTCGAGGTTTTCATCGTGGTTATAACATATAAATATCGGATCGTTTCCCCTAGAAGTCCTTTCAGCAGGCATCAGCTCGGCAGATTATTCATATGTTGCATTGCATTAACCTGAGAAGCCAAATCAAGTTTATGGCCAGTAATATGTAATTATGTACCACTAAACTGTAATTATGTTAATAATTCTTAACTTGTTGCCACATACAAAATCGCCTTACGGCACATCTTCATAAATTCAATATTTTTATACTTTTTTTTTAATTCCCTAATTTTTTCAATAACTTTCCTGGAAGTTTGTTAATGTTATACTTTTCATAATGACCATAGAAGATTCCGCTCAATGGCACAAAAAATAAATAACTAGGTTTCAGAATGGTAATATTTGAATTTCTTGTATGGCCCACTCGAGTGGGTTACTGGAATTGATATTCTTAATCTTGGTACACATTTTAGTCGAGTTCAGGATAGAGCACAACTGCTTTTAAGTTTTCTATTTGCTGTAAACAGTAGTCTATTTGAATAAATCTCAGTGCTGAAGTTGAAGAGAATGTAAATGCGTTTTAATTTTAAGGTTTCCAAATGACTGGTTGTTAGGTCGCACTATTGCTCTTATGTGACGCAACTATTCTCTTACATCTTCTGAATTCAATGCATGGAATGAAAATAGGACAAGACATTCTGCATTGTAGTGTAGTATAGTATACTAAACTATGCAAGAACAATTTTTGCAATTTTTGTTGGAGTTCAAGTAAAGGTATTCAAACACACAGCATGGCTTCTTTTTAACTGAAGTTCGCAGATAGTATAATACCTTCAAAGTGAGTGGTGATAATTTTTTATAAAAAATTATATGCCGGATTGATTAATAATATATAATAGTGTTTAGTATTTACATGTTATGTTATCCATAGTCTCAAAAATTTTTTTTATAACGTTATACGTTAGAATCTCGCTAAACCGGCAAATCCTAGCGTAAGCAGGTGGACAGGATGAGAAGAATGCCGGATTATTGATAGTGTACAGCCCTACATACAATAAATGATTCAGAAAACAATACCTAACGGTGACCTGTCACTCTTTAGTATTCTTTTTGGTGGGAGGCAGTTGGGGAAATTAACATGCAATATTGTGCACAGAAATGAAACCATTAACGTGTATCCTAACTAACCTTTTAATGGAAATGGGCAATGCATAGGCGATCAGTCTGGAAGGGAGCCGGATAATAAAGAAGCCGGATTAGCGAGAGTCTTCTAAAATCGCATTTGTTAGTATTTCACTAAATTAATATTTTTTATTGAATGTATATAATAGGAGAAGTTTGTTCTGGAAGCACGGAAGATTTTAGTCTCAACGTAATCTCTATAACTAATTTTCAACGTAATATTACACTATCAAAACATATTGTCAGTTTAACATTGGTTCATGAAATAGGCCATACATTCGGAAGTGATCACGATCCACCAAATGACACTGTGTGTACACCCGGCAAATTTAATCATACTATAGGAAATTACATTATGTACGAAGCTCTGGAAACGCCTAAAATATTGTACAATCACTTGAAGTTCTCACCTTGTAGCGAAAGAAGTATGTACGATAATCTATTTGTAAATAACAAAGGTAATTAATTTTCATTTTTATAAAATTTTATGTATGAGAATATTTAATTTACACTATTACTTACGTCAATATAAAATACTGTTGAATGTACTGTAAGAAAATCAAGCAAACAGTTGCTACAAAAGAAGTTTAAATTGCGCATGGGGCCATCTCTTATAATTTATTTTTTTTTAGTTTATATTATTAATTATCATAAAATCTTAATTTTATGGTTAGAGCTAAGTCTTATTTTTTAAGATAATAATATAAATGCTAATAACAAGTAAAATCTTCATTAAATTTGATCCTATTAAACATACCATCTGTATTACCCCACCTTTCGACCTTTAAACACTAATATTTAATAGCATTAATGCCTCTAATAAACAAACCTCCCTGTTAAATTCCATAAATTTACGACAAAAGGCACAGAAGTTATAAAGTTTCAATATGGGTGAATAAAGTGGTGATATTCATGAATATAGAAAAAACCATATCATTTTGCATTCATCGACGATTCAATGTTCGCTGAGTCCGAAAATGTAGAAATCATGGAGAGATCATATTTGTCTTATTCATACAATCTCCCTGTTATGTAGAACTGCCAGGAAAGTAAAAGTAACGTTTCAGTCATACATTTTTCTCACGAAATACTTTTAAACATAAACTTAATAATTAAACTCTTATTTATCATTTCTATTAATTTTGTTTCTAAAGATGGGATTTACCACCCATGAGAAATTTGCCCGCGATAATTCAATTCCGGATCTCACAGAGCAGTAGGCTAAAGAAAATAATGTTTACATGAATAGCTTCAATAATATGTATTGAGTAAAATAATAACAATAAAACCATTGAAACAAAAAGTGATAATTACTTTTGAATGCATATTACATGATGACTTTCCTTGCGAAGAAACAAATATATTTTTTATAATAATGTAATGAATTGTATAATCGACAATTGTTTTGAAACAAATAAATTGTAATAATCGGAAATTTTATCAAAATGAATTCTCTGGTAATTTTGCTAAATATTTTGTTTCTACAGTAGAGCGTCGTTTATCCGAATCAATTGGGGACTGGGGTGGTTCGGATAACGAATCATGTACGAAAAAATATGTTAATTTATCCCATGTTGAAATTTTTCTCCGTTGCGTGTCGCTTCGCGTTGAATTTTCGTCGATGTTAAGCCTAACGAAGACTATTGTATCGTTAAAAATTATTGTTTAATTTAGTACAAACAAAATAAATATATTGAAAAACAATTAAAAAATTATACTTCAGATGTTAATTTAGTATCAAAAACGTAAAATATTTGAGTAGCCGAAGATTGCAGCGCCACAGCACTAGCGAAAATTTAAATTTTTCGACTGGAATGCTTTCGGATAACAGACGTTTCGGATAACCAGCTTTCGGATAATCGACGCTCTACTGTATTTCTTTATCAATATCTTTACTAAATTATCAAAAATTGCATGAGATCGAGTATTACGAGATAATAGATTTTAAAACAAATTTCACTGAAGGTGAAACACTAGAACAAATAAGGATAAAGACAGCAATTACGATGAAATTTCGAGCATTCGAAAAGAATTTTAAACTGATACTGCGAGAAGACAATTCAATAATATCTCCAAGTGCCAAAGTCTATATAGTTGCAGACGAAATTATCAAATTATATCCGAAGAACACCGAAGGCTTTTCCATATACAAAGGAACCGTTTCGGGAGACAAACAATCATTTGTAAATGGATACCTACACAGAAATGGATTAATTGGCAAAATCCAATTAAAATACGAAACGTTTTTCACAGAAAACGCATTTGCGTACTTAAAAGACGAAACCTTTAAAGATATGCGAAATTATACTCCGACTTACGCGGTTATCGCTCGGTCGCACTTATCGCGTAAATTCAAGGTATTACTGTACTTCTAATAACTTACAATGTTGTTGTAGATGGTGTTTGCCGTGGAAACACAAAAGGAGCAAGTATAGACGTGGCATTTGTATCTAACATTGCTAATGAAAGAAAAGTTCCAAAGATGGAGATTAGTAAAAGTTTGCTTCATGAAATGGGACATTCGTTCGGAAGTTTCCACGATCCACCTAATGATCCGGTGTGTTCAGCTGGAGACCGAAGAGATTATTTAGGAAATTACGTTATGTACGGCGCTCTGATTTCTAACTATACTGATGGATCGTTGTACAACAACTGGCAGTTTTCTCCATGCAGAAAAATCAAATATACGATAATCTTTTGTGAATAAGGGAGGTGCGTAATTTCAATTATTATTAAATATTATACACATGATGATTTTATATTCGATTAAAAAAATTCTTGTAATGCATTGTCTATATGATTTCTTTACTTTTGCTGCTGTTATATATATCAGAGGAAAAGTATGGCGATCGGTCGGAAATGACTTTTCAAGATTTTTACAGTTTTTGGCTCAAGGCACTTTGAAACTTCGAAAAATGCAAAAACATTCGGAGGTAATTTCTCCATGTATGGATGTTAGTGTATATGTTGGGCAATATTTTATTTACACTATTTGAGGCTTAAAAACGCCTGTTTTTCGTCGAAAAATTCTGAAGTTTTGCAGGGAAGTTCGTTGATCAGGGAGATTCGGGCTATTAAATTTTGGTGAACAAAAGTCAAGGAAATGATGTAATCGAAATATTCTCCCGGGAGAGTGACAATTAATGACGATTTTACTCGTTATCAGCATTTAGAATTTTTGTAAAAAACCTACTCTTACCCTCAAAATTAAGCTTTTTCTTGTATTACAGTATTTAATATTAAAAATATAAACATTTTAAATAGAATATCACAACAGATGGTGCCACAAATGTTGCCAGAAAAGTTAAGCAACTCGTCGCTGGAATTTTTTAACTTAAATTATTCAGTTTCAACACAATTTCTTTTGATTTGAAAATTTACTATTTTCAATTTTATAACCTTTTTTTTTTAATTCTTGTAGCCATTTGCATGACGAAGCCAAAGTCAATATGTGGTAACGGAATAACAGAACAAGGAGAAGAATGCGACTGCGGAAGTATTGAATCCTGCGAAAAATTGGATCCGTGTTGTAATCCTCCAGGATCAGCTGCACCGTGTACATTCCTCAAACCATCGCGAAACTTTTGTAGTCCGCGGGAAGGCGATTGCTGCAACGAGAAGTGCGAATTTCTTGCAAAAGAGGAACAACGCCAATGTTTCGTGTACTCTCCTTGCCGTGAAAAAATTCTTTACTGCAATGGATTGTCGCCATTCTGCCCGGAGGTGATTTTACCAGACGGAACATCGTGTTCGGGTTCTAATATTTGTAAATCTGGCAGTTGTCTCGTGGATGTTTGCAAAGATAACGGATTACAATTATGTAAATGTCCAAAAAGCTTAGAATGTCAGATTTGCTGCGCGGATAAGGAAGGTAATTGCAAATCGACATCAGACCGAAACATTTTCCTACCAAATAGAACAATATTTGCCGTATTTCCAGGGACGCCTTGTAACAACAATAGTGGAATGTGCTTACTGTAAGAGAATTTTATTTCGTTAATTACCGTAAATAACAGCTACGATAAAATGCATTTTTACTTTTTCAGTAATGGAACGTGCTATTCCAAACATATATCTGGAAATTGGTGGAATACCTTCTGGCCGTATTTATTACCGGTTCCATTATTTATGACTTACTTTTTTTTCACGTTTTTGTATCGATATTTCAGAATGAAATTATCAGATTTTAAACTTTAACGAGAGAATTGACAATAAAAGACACTTCTACACTACGTTTTAAAAGCAGTTTTTCATGAAATTAGTCTATAGGGAAATACTGTTGTTTTCATGAAATATTACTTAATAAGACATGCTTTACCACACTAATATGTGTTACGTCATACTTTTACATACCTCTGTTGTTTGATGATAATGTTTTATAGTGTTTTATGTCAGTCTGACGTAGACTGACGTAGCTCTCTTACTAATCACAAATATTTTTGCTGTTTTGTTTATATGAGATCCACAAGTTTTGGGGTTAACTAAAAAAAATCTATGTAAACAACCGCCGATAGAAAAAGTATGGAATAGTTACGGATCGGATGTCATCCCGATTGTCAGCAATCAGATTGGAAAGTCGACACACAGGTGTCAGAAAATGCACTGCCATCGTCAACGTGAGCGATCACGTGACCTCTTTTTCATCACAAGTGATTAAAAGCTCGAGCCCCCGGAAGTTCAGGGCGATCGAACTGGAAGTTATATTTGGTAACTGCGCAATCTGTCTCCCGGACCTTTATACAACAAGCCCGATCCCACGAGAAAACAAGACACCGGAAGAAGACATATTACAGTTTCGGACTTCCGTACAGTTTGCCACATGGACGAGGACTGCGATTCCTACGAAATTATCGACGCATACTGTTCGTTTCCTCATAGAGGTATTTTTTGTTAACGATTTGTGTACTTTCTTTCCTGCAACGGGAATAGGCTCAGCTAATAGCTGCCGTTTTGTATATATTTAGTATTTAATCGCATCTAACCTCCTGTATGTTAATCTTACATCTTAAATGCTTTGTTTAATTGCTAACTTGTCTCCTGTCTATCCAAGGACACCTGTCGACTTGTTCACCCCCTCGCCAATCGATAAAAAGCCACCCAAAAGAAAAAGTGGGCGAGTTTTACCAACTCGACGTGTAAGAGGCAATTAGGAATTGACCCTGAGCCCTCGTATTCTCACATTTAAATAATGTTTTATAGTGTGAGAGCCGAATTTATTAGAATAAATTGTTAAATATTTTTTTGTACGAGGAACAATTTAGAGAAATAAACAACAAACCGATATTTAAAAAGAACATAAAACTTTTTTCCCACGAACTTAATTCCGTGTTGAGGATGATACATCCAATATGTCACCCAGAATCTACGAAAAGACGAAAGAAAACAACTATTGGACGGAGACAGTGGAAAAAACCCAACGATACTACCTTTATAAAAAGGAGGGGTCGATGAGTAAGAGTCAGTCAATGGAGTTTGGTGTGAACTGTGGATTTACGTGAATAGATTAGCCGCAACCCGGAACTATTCTAATCGCCGCCGTTCGGGAGGATCACCGCCTAAAGAAGTATCAACGTTCGAAAAATCTTTGTTCCACATAAAAACCAAATATTAACGTTCGAAAGAACTTTGTGCCACATAGAGACTCGATGACTAAACGACTATTTGACAACTTATATCAAGGTATTTATCCTCGCGCGAAATACATGTGAGCTCTCTCTCTCATTAATACGGGTAATCGGGAAGAAAGTAGATATGTTAACTGAATCGATTGTACAGTCGACCCCCCTATAACGTACGTTCCTATAACGACAATTCCTATAACGTAGCGAAAAAATTGTAGAAACTTTCGTATAAAGTACCTCCTATAACGTCGTTTCGCGACAAGATTGATAGAGTCTGGACCAATAGTGGATGAGCAGCCGAACTACTTTCCTCCGACCCTGCGCCACGCTACGGAG